CTCTGGATGATGACACGTGTACTCCACGTGGTCGTCGAAGAAGCACACTTTGCTAGGGTGATTACTCTTCAATCTTCCCACCTGAAATTTTCGACACGTGAAGGTCAACAACACCCTCTCTCGTTTCTCGATGTCCGCAGGGCTCTCGCCGCCCCCCCACACCCTCTTGAGCTCGGCTATGGCGACATCGAATTTGTCGGTCGCTTTCAGGAGAGAGTAAGCCATGGAGGTCTCTGGTACTTTGGAGAGTTGCACGCGAAGAGAAGAGCGGCGACGGGAAGAATAATGCAATGGTAGAGGGGGTTTGACGACGGGGGACATAATGGGTTCGTGAAGGGCACTGGATCGACGGCGGCCACGTGGCATTCCACTAACGCGACGATCAGAAGATGGCAAAGAAGAAGAAGAAGAAGAAGAGGAGGAGGAGGAGGAGGAGGAGTAGGAAGGTTGAGGAGGAGGAGGAGGAGAACTGAGAAAGGGAGGGGAGGAGGCCCTGCCGCGGAGACTGCCGTCGGCTGCTCCTGGTGGAGGTGCTGATTCAGATGCCGATGTAATGCTTCGTCTGGATCCCGACTTCATGAAGCTGGTCCTTTTCATGTTCTGGATGACAGTCGCGGTGCTCTCTAAACTACGCACAACCTCCGGAGTCATGATGGTCGACGGCGAAGCTGCTAATGCAGCTGCAACTGCCGCTGATGATGATGATGAGGAGGAGGAGGAGGAGAAGAAAGAAGACAACGTTGATGATGACGCCATAGTCGCACAGTTGCTGCCAGTGCACGGCAAGAGACGAGACCAAGTCGAGGGAGAAAGAGCAGGACAGACGCAGAACGAGCAATTGCAGCAAGTTAGAAGAGGAGGAGGAGGAGGGCGGAGGAGGACAAGGAGGAGGGGAGGACGACGACGACGATGACGACGCGCAGCGAGCAAAAGAGAAGAAAAAGGAGGAGGAGGAGGAGGAGGAGGAGGAGGAGGTGGAGGGTGTCAACGTGTGAGATCTGGCGGATCGTTTAGCTGAAAGGGGCGAGGAGAGGAGAATGAACCCGTAGCCCTAGAGTAGCAGCAGCTGCAGCTATGGTGCAGTTCTCCGGGCAACGGTAGTCAATGATGAGTAGGACCGAGAGAGCAACAAGAGAAGGAGGAGGAGGAGGAGGAGGAGGAGGAGGAGGAGGAAGGTTGGGAGACGCAGGGGAAGCGGAAGGGATGGACGATGAGGGCCGCGGTGCTTCAGACCATAGTAGATCTCTCATATCCTCTACCTGAGAGGCAGCAGCCAACTTGCATTTGTTCCGGACTACGGCCTTTCTCCGAAAACAAGAAATCCTCATCACGACCGTATTTGACCGGAAAGATAGCTTGCATACATTCATGTCGACCGGAAATATAGCTGGTATGCATTCATGATCCGTGTGCTCGGAGGAAGGAGGGGTAGAGGGTTTAGACAGGTCTTTAGCTGGTGACATCAACAGTTACGGCAAGGTGAACCCCTCCCCGTGCGCTTCAGCAAGGTGGGTGAAGAGGGATGTGTTTGCCCTTTGCCCACCCGCACACACCTACAGACAGAAAGTCAAACTGACTTCTGAAGTCCTCAAGTTACAGAAAGTCAAACTGACTTCTAAAGTCAAAGTCAAACGGACCTTACTTAAAAGTCAAAGTCAAACGGACATTGTAAGTAAGGTAAGTGAAAACGACTTCAAAGTCAAAAAAATGATTTCACATTTGCGACGCGGCGGCGTCTACAAGGGCCCAAGGGTCTGGTCAGAATCGAGAGTACGTCCGAGAGCATAAAATAAATACCCACAGAAGGGGACTGCTTTTTTTGACTGAATCTAGTCGGAACTATGGACAAATGCATAAACGAAAGTGCGCATTCGCTGAGTGACACTCGCTCTATAGCTTCATGACGAAGACCCAATGGCGCGGCTGCAAAAGGACTTTTTCTGAATGAATCTAGCTGTAATTATGGAAAGATGCGTCAAGGAACGTCCCTATTCCATCCGTCCGTAAGACCCGTTCTATACCCTTCTGCCACGACGTGACGGTGCAGTTCTATTCTATGTCAGCAATGCGTAATAAAAACATATATACCCTGCGACTTTCTTGGATGGATCTGTCCCTATTTGCTGTCGGATGCATCCGTATGCCCTGCCAGGTAGATTAATGATTTAGGGTGGAACAAAGTAGAGAGCCAAGCGATGGCAAAAGGGGTCTGGGAGGGGGGGAGAGGGGGAGGCCAAGGGAGGCGAAAGGAGCAAGGGCCAGAGCGGGGGGGGCGAGGGGGTTCATGCGCCCAAAGGAGGCTCAGCAAAGTCCCCCCCAAACCTAGCTTCCGATCTTCATTGTTGAAAAGTAGAGAGCGTAATAAATTCAAGGGGTAATTTGCAAAATACCCCCATAAGTTGAGATATATGCCAAAATGCCCCTAAAAGATCTGGGTAGAGCGGAATGCCCCCATGAAAGAAGAAAAAAAATTGTGAAATACCCCTGGCGTCGGTTGGACCCCCAATTTTGCAATATACCTGGACCGGTACTGTCCAACTTTGCAAAATGCCCCGGTACTTGCCAACTTCTCCTCGGCGCTATTGCAGAAGGCCAAGGCCCAAACAGGGAGGTCCAGATTGCACAGTTGCATTGTCTACCGCATGGGCATGGGGAATGCAGCCACAAAGCAATGAGACTCAGAGCGTGCACAAGAGAGAGAGAGAGAGAGAGAGAGAGAGAGAGAGAGAGAGAGAGAGAGAGAGAGAGAGAGAGAGAGAGAGAGAGAGAG